TTATTTCGCAGGGGAGCATGTTATTTGCCTTTTTATTTATTTAAATCAAATCACAAATAAAAACGAAATAAAGACAGGTATGTGAAAGTTTCTGTGTTATGGTGGTTTATCTAGGCAGCAAGTTTTCTTGTAAGAAAAGATCTCAGTGGGACATCTCAATCGTCAGGATTTTCGGCCCCTGCCCCCACAGCAGGATGGCGTATTTCACAGTTCACTCTCTGGTGTGAGGGAGCGCAGTAACAGACACAGGTTCACCATCCAGCGGGCGGTCTGGTTCCCAGTAGACAGCACTGACCAGCCTGCTGTCAGAGGTTAGTGAACGAATCTTTAAAAAAAAAAAAAAAAAGTAGCTGAAAGAGATCTTGTTCTTGGTTTTTAGTACTTTGGTGTTCAGTGAATTTTCTGTCAGCAACTTTTTTTTTTAAGTCTGGTGGATCATCCCTTTTCAGGAAATTGAAAAATTCTCCAAAACCTGCAACTTTCTGAACACTGCATGACACCACAGTTTGGAAATTCCATGGCATTAAACATTGTTTCTTGCACAAAATTAAAGATCAGTGATAACCAAGAATGGCACTTGCTATTCCAAAGGATCTGCTGTTGTAAAACACAAGTCGGAGAGATAATTATTTTCATGTTTGCTTTGAGGTTAAAATGATAAATACTAGATCTTGTTCCTTCAGGAGCTGTGATGGATGAGACTGGGTTTATCTAAATATTCTGTCTAAACATTTTAGTACTAACCAAGTTATGATTTGTTGTAGTTAGGATTGCGTTGTACAAGAGAATTCAGGGCTGACTTGATCTCTTTCCCCTAAACTAGCAAGCAACTGGCCAATGCAGAAGTGGTGCAATTTTAAGAGGTCTTACCTACTTGTTAGCTGGCTTGAACTGGGGTCATAGTGCTCACGGCCGTGACAGCTGTTAAAGGGGAAAGCACCGGGAAGCCTGAGGCACAGCAGGCAACGCTTCAGCAACTCCCTGGACAGCTTCTCCTCTCCAGCAGATGGGGAGCTGCCCCAAACCGCATGCCCATTTCTGTGCACTTGGCTAGGCCTTTACACCTGGCGTCAGATGGCAGGCGTTCTTTTTATTTTATTTTTTTAAAGATTTATTTATTTGAAAAAGAGAGGGGGAGAAAGGAGAAGACCTAGAGATTGAAATCTTCCATCTACTGATCCGCTACCCAAATGGCTTCAACGGCCAGGGTTGGGCTGGTGAAAAGTCAAGAACTTCCTCTAGGTCTCACACGCAGGTGCATGAGCTCAGGGACTTGGACCGTATTCTGCTGCTTTCCCAGACGTAATATTAGGGAATTGGACTGGAAGTAAAGCAACTGAAACTCAGACCAGTGCTTATATGGGATGCTGGCACTGCAGACAGCAGCCCCACGGGCATTCTTTTCTGGGTTTGTACCCGTGCCCTGTATTAACATGGATAAATTAGTCTTGCTACTGGTCGCTCTGTGATAGGACATGATTCCTCCCAGAGAAGGTGACCTGCATCAGGCCCACTGGGTTTTGTGCTGGTGACCTTATTTTTTCCTGGTGTCACAGTTGAATTCAGTTGAATTCTTCAGTACCAACTGGTGCATCTTCCCCTGATCTGTTGTTCTTAGTACAGTATTGTGCAGTACTGGAACAACTCTTTTGTTTGTTTTTGTTTTTGTTTTTAAAAGACAGAGTTACAGAAAGAAGGGGGACAGAAAGAGATCCTCTATCTGCTGGTTCAACCCCATAGCCTCAGTAGCAAAAGCTGGGCCAGGCTGAAGACAGGAGTACCTTCTGGGTATCTCATGTGGGTACATGAACATTTGAGCTGTTCTTTGCTATCTTCCCAATGTATTAGCAGGGAGCTGGATAGGAAGTGGAGCAGGTGGAGCTTAAAACCTATCTTCCTTCTCAGGATGGAGCTTAATCCAGTGCACCATGACACATCTCTTAGAGGAGATAGGTCATGGATGCCAGGCCATTAAAACAGTTGGCATCTGCTTTTTCTGCACATAGAACTCAAGTGGGGTCTAGACACGGTAGCCTATGGCTAAAGTCCTTACCTTGCATGCCCCAAAATCCCATATGGGTGCAAGTTCATATCCTGGCTGCCCTACTTCCCATCCAGCTTCCTGCTGTGGCCTGGAAAATCAGTCGAGGATGGCCCAGATCCTTGGGGCCATGCACCAGTGTGGGAAACCTGAAAAAAATTCCTGGCTCCTGTTTCAGATTGGCTCAGCTCCAGCCATTGCTGCCACTGGGGAAGTGAATCAGCAGATGGAAGGTTTTTCTCTCTGTTAATCCTTCTCTCTGTACATCTACCTTTCCAATAAAAATAAATAAATCTTTTTTGAAAAAATTGAGTGGTTCCTGGATCCCAGAAGAAAGCAAGTTATCTGTATTCCTGAACTCTGCTTGTAGGTTGCGGTTGGGGTTGATCACCAGAACCCGTTATTGATCAGCTTCCCATTTGTTGTTTTTACAGATTTGTTTATTTATGAGAGAGTTTCTTTCAGAAAGAGAGATGGAAAGATCTTCCATCCACCAGTTCACTCTCCAAATGCTTGCAGCACTGGAGCTTGGCCAGTCCAAAACCAGGAGCCAGGAGCTTCTCCAGCTCTCGCACATGAGAACAAAAGCCTAAGGACTTGAGCTGTCTGCTGCTGTGTTCTGAAGTACATTAGCAGAGAGCTGAATAAGAATTGAAACAGCCAGGACACTCACACCAGCACCCGTATGGAATGCTGGTGTCATAGGTGGTAGACAATTAACTTGCCACACCACAGTGTCAGCCTCTTGAGCCTCTCATTTTAACTGTCTCTCCATCTCACCACTAGGAGAGATGCAGCCTGTTTGGGCGCTGCCATAGGAGGCTTTGGACAAGCTGTTCCTGGGGTCTCTTGCGGCTGGTGCTGTGTGATCTTCTGTGTTACCCGTATCTATGCATTCGTGGAGTTCAGGACAAGAAGTTGTTTCACAGCAGAGTTGGCTCCTTCTTTGTTCCTTTGCAGAGATGGTAGTTGATCTTGGAAGAAGAACTTGTTTCTCAGGCCACCTTTCTATGCCACTTCACACCAGCTACTCCAATCTGCCACTCTCTGGGTGAAAAGGAACCCAAGTAGCAATTTTCTTCCCAAAAGGCACCGTGGCCCTCAGTCGTGAAGTGGATCAGTGCTAACCATGATCTCAGCTCACCAGTACCACACTGAGTGGCCTAAGGACCAGCCGGCACACTCAGATGGGAAGTGGAAAATATGCATCTCTTTATCTGCCACTTGTGTGGTGCCTGATTTCTTTATCTGTTAAATGGGAATGGGCAACAGTTCCTTGGCAAAGTCATGTACTCCCTTTTGCAGGTATTCCAGACAAGTCACCAGGCCAGTGCTTGGTTCACGAAAGCCGCAGGAAGAGGGTAGAGTTTGCAGTGAAAGGTGATTAGATTTCACATAATGTGGAAATTTTCTCAGAAAACAAATACCTGTTTTTTGTTTTTGGCAGGGAGTGTTGTTTGTTTTTCTTTGTGCCTTTTTCCTTGCATAGAGACCTATGAGCATTTTATTGGTTCTATTGGAATTTAATTGTATATTTTCCTTGGGTTTTTCTGGATAGATGAATAATAATTTAGACTGCGTAACTTCATACCTTTGATGTGTGTGTGAGTGTCCCTCCTACTAGGACCCTGGCTGGCAACACTAATGGGGCTGTGTCTGCAGTGATGGTTGCAGCCTATGCCTGTGAGAGGTGTGATTGGCTCAGCAACCGGCAGGCGTGTACCTGATGCTGTACACGCCAGCACTGTGGCCTTGTGGAGATTACCTTGCCTCCCTGAGCTTGGGAGTAAAGGGCTCCACAGAGCTGATACTCGTGTCTGTGTCTGCCTGTGCTGCCTGCTCATTTACTTCAGAATTTTTCTTCCATGCTAAAGCAAGCAGCCAGAAAATATATTCTGCTGGGTTTTTTTTTTTTTTTTGAAATTTTTGTGTGAAAAACAAAGGCAAGAACAGTTTTAGTGCTTTCCACTAAAGTTGATGTGTGTGAGGAGAGGACTGTTTTATTTTTGAAGCAGAGGCAGATAAGAGAGCTTCCCTGCTAGTTCAACAAACAACGCCTCCTTCCCCATGCCTGCAATAGCCTAGTAAGGAGCTGGGAGCTCTGTTCAGTTCTCCCATGTGCGTGACAGGGACTCAGCTACTTGAACCACCTCTTGATGCTTCCCAGGGTCTGCATTGGCTGGAACCAAAAATCAGTAGCCAAAACCAGGACCCAAACCCGAACACTCCCATTATGGTGTGTGGGCCTCTTAGTTGTGAGGCCCCAGATGTTGGTACGTTCTTAAGAACAAAACAGTGGGACCTTTTCCACTTAGCTGAGGGGCATACCTGGTCCCTTTGGGAATTAGAATAAACTATCCTGTGGCAAAGTGGAGACAGTGTGAGGGGAGCACTGCAGTCTACCAGACTTGGCTTCAAGTCTTGGCTGTGATTCTGACCAACCTTGAACAAACCTCTTAGTCCTTGTGGTGAAGTGAACATCTGTCAGGTGGATATAGTAGTTCATTCCTGCCTTCTAGGGCAGGAAGAAGATGGAAGACCATCTACAACCAACTCCTGGTTTCCCAGCTAGCCCCTAGGTGCTAGTGCATAAATGCTGTTTCTGCTACATTGTTTTTATAAATGTGTCATCTAGCCAGCAGAGACCAGGTACAGAAAGTGTTGTGTGTTATGTGGATGCTTAGCAGAGAGATGGAGACACTGGGTGGAGGAGATTAACACGCGCTGCCCTACAAGTTATCAGACTGGGAGGATCTCGCCAGCCTCTCCTCTTCAGATAGTGTGATTCACAAGAACTTGGCAACTTGGAAGGTGCTGAGCCTGGTCCTGCAGATGGCCCTGGCCATGCCTGTGGGGGTTTCCCTGTGGCTCTCTGGGAACCATGGACTCCTGACCTTGGTTTGATTGTCAGGTTGCACTGCTGTGTCTGCTGTCACTGACTGTCTTCACTCTCTTCCAGGGGCTCCACGGGCCTTACCCCTTCGGCCAGTCTTAAACGGGTGTGTCAACAAGAAGAAAAAAAGGCCTGACTTTGGGGGTAGGGCAAGGGTTTCCCTGGATTGCAGACCACATCGCATGGACCCCTGGCTCTGCCCCCCACACCCCCATCCTGGAAGAAGAGGAGGAAGCAGAACAGACTAGTTTTGAGTAAACTCAGTGTGCATGTGTGAGTGCTGAATCGCAGCAGTGGTGCTGAGACTTCCAAGAAGAAGCCATGCAGCCGCCTTGGGCTTGGTTGATTAGGGTGTCCGTCTAACAAATCATTAGGTTGCCCGGGAAGGGAAACAATTTTTTTAAAGGTGGGGTGGGAGGGGTAGCCATCTTTCTAAACAAAAGTTATTTTGCCTACAGAGAGGTTGTAGTTTCAAGCACCTGTTAATTTTTCCCCTTTCCCACTTTTGTTTAAGCAAGGGATAACATGCTCTTCATAGGATTAGTGCTTGCTCTGGATACGGTTCAGAATGAGAACTACGTGGCATGTTTGGGGACTGCGGGGTCAGCACCGAAGGAGCACAGCTGCCCAGGAACGTGACTCCGGCAGTCTGACCCCTTTTGTTTTTAATGGCATCAGCCAATGAGTTATCACCCTTCCTCCTCCTGTGTCTTTAATCTTGTGTTGATTTACACCTTTGGCATTTGTAGTCACCAACCCTGTGGCTTGTTAGTATCAGAACCTCTCTGAAGACCAAACTTCCCTGTGTGACCAGCAGAGGAAGCCTTGAGGACAGCCCTTGGGTGACGTGGGAGTTTCTGAGATTGAGAGGTGTCCTCCCACACTCGCCTGTGATGGTTGGCATGGCTTCCCTTCCACATTTCTTTTGGCAGGAAGACACTCCATCCTGCCTACATCTTTGCTGGGCCCTTCACATAGTGGCTCCCCACCCATGTGTGACCCATGCGTGTGCCATGGACACACACACAGGTGTTGGTACAGCCCACCAGCAGGCGAGTGTGAAGGTGTCCCATGCTTCTCTGTTGTCACACAGCTCCTCTCCCTGTGTCCCCTCCAGTGGTCCTGCATGGTGTTTTCACAGCCTGTTAATGAAGGCTGAGCTGTTAAAAATTCAAAAGCATGGCCCCCAAAGGGGAATGCGTCACAAGGAAGGGCCACAGTATCTGACTCCTTGATCTTGGAAACCACGCTTAGGTGGAAATTAGAGGACCCTCCATGCCCCCCACTCCACCCCACCCCAGCAGGATGGTCGGTTGTTGTAAGGAGGTGGCCAAGGAGCAGCCCCTCTGGAGATGAGGGTGGCAGCCTCAGTGGCCTCCTGTGGATTCCAAGCAGATTGAGATGTGGCTCTCTCTGTGGAAAGCTTGAACCAGGCTAGAACAGCTGTCTGCCAAAGATAAAAGAATATGCAAAGCCCCTCTTTTCTCCTTCTCACCCCCTCCCTCCTTTGAGTCTTAGTTGGTTTGAGAGTCGGGATACGGATCTAGGGCGCGATTGCTGGTCACCTACCTGGTTAGTGCACCCCCAGCCCTCCTGGGGTTGCGAGGCAAGTAGGGAGACCAGGTGTTGAGTGGCTGCAAGGGGTTGTAGAGCCTGGGTGTGGGTGAGGGTCTGCCTGCCTATCTGTCTCTGTCTGGGTGTCTGAGTTCCAAAATTGTGTGGTGTTTGTTCCTCCTCATCCTCTTCTGAGACTGGTGGGTTTTTTGTTTTGTTTTGTTTTGTTTTAAGTTTGATTGTGGAAGAAAACGCTTGTATGAAATTCACCCTTCACCTTCCCACCTTCCTCAGAAAACCAGAGGGGAATGTCCGCCTGCCGAGAAGGGCAGTTCTGTGCCCAGGTCGGAGCTAAGGGAGGGCCCTCCGAGCACGTGCTCTGTGTGCATGCACAAGGGCACCTTGTCTAGAGGAGCCTGTCCCCTGGGGCTCAGGCTGGCTTCTGTCTGAGAGCCCCATGAGACCCAGGCTGCTGCTGTCGGTGCCAATCTCCTGAAACACTGCCACCCAGGAGCCCACACATGTCCAGCCACTGTTGCCTCCTGATGACCTGGAAGCATCATTAGCTGTCCCTGGCAGGATCGGGGGAGGCTTCACAAGCCCTGCTTTTCTGACTTGCCATCTAGCCCATGCAAGATGCCCTCCACTTCCCAGCAGGGGCTTCACTGGCCACCAGCTTTGGGTGTGGCCCTGCCAGAGTTGTCCTGCTGCTCCTCTTGCTTATAGGCTACCTCACCCCCAGTCAGTTCAGCATCCCATATGTCTTGGCTTGCTTCCCAAGAACAAGCCAGTCTAATGTACACCCTCTGCAAAAGGGCCAGAGCAAGTGCAGGCTTTCTTTGGCATGTGGGCAGAGGAGGGTATGTGACTTCCCCAGGCCCAGGAGGATTTCAGAACCGCTGGCTCTCCTCTGCCTTGCTGGTATGGACCCTGAGCAATGCCCAGAGCCCACGTCCTCCCCTGCCCAGAGGCTTGCTAAAGGCTCCCTGTATCCTCAGCCCAAGCCTGCTCCTGGCAGTCTTCAGCAAGCGGCAGCCACCTCTGGGCCAGGACCATAGTATGGTGTCCAGGAAGTGAGACAGACCCCTTCTTAGGTGACAGGTTCTGAGGCCAGATGGAGAGGCAAGGGACTCAGGTGTGGGCAGGAGCCCCGGTGTGTGTGCATGGAGTGAGCTGTTTGTGTAAGTGTGGGTTGTGTGCACATGTGCATGTCTCTTTGCTTTTTGCCATGGGGATGATTGAATTTGGGGTGTTTTGCTACCCAAAACAGCCACTTTTCTCCCACAGCAAGGACTGGCCATAACCTTAAGCCATCAGGCTTAAATCCAGCTCAGAGGGAATCTCAGTCAACTCAGCTGGTGTGGCCTGAAGGTGGCCAAGGTGCCAGGACATGGGCACGAGAACAAACAGATCCCCAGGTTCACTCTGAGCCCCAGCGAGAGGCTGGTAGGGCTCCCAGGGCTTGGGAAATGAGCTGATCCTCCTCCCTGCCCTGTTTTTGTTCCCTGGGTGAATGAGGAGCAGCAGCGGTTGCCCCTTCCACCTGTCAGTAGTATGTGTGTATGTGTGTAGCACACAAGCTGGGTGGGTGTTCATGGCAGGACCTCATGGTGCCTAGGATGAGATGAAGATGAGGAGGTTTTTCCTTATTGTATAAATGAATATTTGTATGATTAAATTAACACACACACAAAAGGCTGTTTCCATGTGTGTCTGAGTTTTATTGCGCCTCCAAGCTTCCTGTGACCTGAATGCCCCCGCCCTTGTTGGGTACACTTGCATGTCTTCAGGTCTTCGCCCTCTTGTAGATGGGCAAACAGAAACCCTGAAGTTCATTATCTGTGTGTAAGAAATCAGTCGTGGGGTTATTAGTGGATCTGTTGGCCTTCCTGGTGCCCAGTAACCAGAAGGTAGTTAAGGAACCTGCCTGCAGATGGCCATGATGTCACCAGGGGCAATCTCTGTGTTGATCACCACTCGGTCACCAGCTGAGCAGCCCTTCCCTTGTACAGTCTCCACACTGCACCGCACAGTCATCCTTCCTGTTGGAGGAGCAGAAAGTCCCGGCTCCCCCCTGCCTGGCCCCCTAGGTGTAGAAGAGGGAATACTTCTTACAAGTTTCCCATGGTGACGTCTGAGTAATCAGGGAGCACTTCTGGCTTCTTAAGGATTAAGGATAAATTTTTGCGGGTTGGCCAGTCAACTAGCAAACAGGAGGTGACCCCACATCCTTAAAGGAGATAGTCTTTAACTTTGACAAAGCCAGGGAGGTGAATGGTGGGGCAAGTGGCTGAGCAGAGTGAATTGAGCAGAAAGTCTGCCTAAAGAAGACCTTATTGGCAAATATGCCTGTGAAAGGTGACTTTACTGGCTTCATTTTTTCCTAGCTGTGGCACTGTTCAAAATTCATGTGTCTGCTGTCACATCATATCTCTGTATCGCAGAATGAGATCAGAGAGGCAAGGGAATCGCCTAAATCCCACAGCTTAATGGAGGAGTCAGGTTTGGACCTATGAGCTCCCACCCACTGGCATTATTTTCATGTAACTGAAGAGCCCTCCATTCACCTGCATACCCCCTCAATTGTGCCTTCCTCCTGCCTAGCTAAGCTGTGTGTTCCAGACAGCAGCTGTGAGGCAGGAGTTCTTATGTGGTGGGAATTTCCCAACTGCTGTCCTATAGGAAGATCATTGAGGGGACCTGCGAGACACAAGTTGCATGAAAGAAATGCCCCCACATCACTGGGTTGCTGCCTCAGCAGCAGGTACACAAGACCCCTGTTTTTCAGAGCAGCCTTGTCCTGAGCCCCAGGGAAAGGAGTCTAGGAGACTGGGCCAGAGACTTCCAGGGTGAATGGCCCCGACCCATGACTGTGCACCTGCATCCTGCTTCCTCCCAGGTGCCCACAGCTGTTTGCTTTCTGCAGGGGCGTGGCAGGGGGGCACTGTCACCTGGGTCTTCTGGCAGCACAAACCCACTCCCAGGACTTTGCTACACCTCCACTGCTGAACAGTTATTTGCTTGGCAGAATCTGTTTGCCTTTGGGGCTGTAACCTGTCAAGAAGTCACCAGGCCCTGGAAGAAAAGAGTATGTTGGATGGTAGTTCCTGGCCAAGGCCATTCCCACGGGGGCTGGGTGACAGGGAGGAGGCTCTCAGCTGAGCCTGGGAGCTGGGGCTGAGGGGACAGTTGCAGTGGTCTAGACCCAGCCCTTCTGACAGAGCAAATAGGTCCACTCAAGCCGCCTCCCTGCCCTGGTACTTGGGTGCCTCCCACCCTATTCCTGGGAAGCTCCCTCCCTCCCTCCTCCCCGGCTTGCCATGACCCAGCAGTTTCCTTGACACCACTTGGTATCCAGCCCTGTGTATTTTGGGAGGAGAGACACAGAACACTCAGAACTCAAAAACACTTCATTTCAGAAATCAGGAGAGCAGACAAGCTTGCGAGAGGGGAAGACTGTATGTTGGGTGGGTGGGAATGTCCAGAAACAGTCTGATCACTGTGACCAGCTAGAGGAGCTCCATAAAACACAGACAGTCTTCCACAGAAGCCAGGGCCTGGATCACGGAGCTATCGAATGTCTTTTTTAGCCTCTGTTTTAGAGATGGCTGTGATCTGAGACCAAACACAAGTGTTCTCAAGTGCTGGTTCTGATTGACCCACTCTTGGGGAGGTGTGGGAACCTGCATTTCTAGCAAGTCCCAAGAATATGGCAGCACGCTGAGCTGACCACCCCTAGGAAGAATGTCCAAGGAGGTGGCCCTGCCCTCCCAGCTCCTTCCCCCAGTGCATCTGACCTGTGAGGTTCAGGCAAACCTAGGCTAAGCTGCCTTGTCAGGCCCGTTGGGGTTGGAAGACACCAGGGCCCTCTTTGGACCTCTGAATGAGTGCTCTGTTCCCCATCACTTCCCAGGATTTGTCCAGGCTGTGATTTTTGGCTTAGACGTCATCCCCAGTGTGCTGCTGCTTGTCATCAACAATGACTTGATGATGATACTGGCCCCCCACTGTTAACCCTGTTAAAGTCACTTACTCATATGAATGGCCACATTTAAACCACCACTACCTCCCCAGAGGGGGCAGTCGAGGTCAGGCAGCGTGTGAACAACTAACTTGCTTGTCATGAAGACAAGGAGGCAACCTAGGCTGAGAGCGGAGGGATGGTGGGGGAGGATGGGAGAGTGAAGGAGATGGGTGCGCCTTTGAGGAGCATGGCTCCTAACTGGGGAAACGGGTCTGCATCTGCAGGAAGACACAATCTCTACCTCAGCCAGGCCTAGGAGTGCCCCACCACCCCTGCCCTTGATGGTACTTTATTTGTCCATCATGTCTGTGTGCTGGGCACCTGCTCCAAAAGAGTGTGGCTAAAAGAGGCAAAACCCCATACCAGTTAGAGTCCAGGTGTGATGTGTGAAGATGTGACGTGCTGCGGGGTGCACGCAGCAAAGAGACCTGAGTGCCCATGAAGAACAGATTAGGATTGCTACCCTTGATGAACATGGACATAAAGCCAGCCCATGGACGTCTCGGGTAAGCATTCTGGCCCAGAGCAGGGCCCCAAGGTGTAGCAGGAGGTAAAGTCAGTGAGGTGAGGGCAACATTATGTGGGGCCTGGGGATGGCTGAAGCAGCCCGGCTTTCACCTGGATGAGATGGTTGTGAGCAGGACACAGCACACGTGGCTGCAGTGTTGAGAGTGCACTGAGGGGAAAGGGCAGATACGGGTGGTGGCAGCGGAGGAGGCAAGAAGTGGCTGGGTCTTTGGCACAGCCAGAAAAGCAAGCCAGCGGTCCTTACAGGAGGATTCCACATAGAGTAGCAGAAGGAAGATAGGGGCCTGAGGAACTAGAATATAATGGCCAGATTAGTAAATAACCGTTCCTAAAACAGGCAGGGGCTGACGAGGGCAGAAAGCCAAGTTCTTGCTGGACCTGTGTGTCAGGCATTCACGGGCAGCCTGGGCTAACATAGGAGGTGCAGCTGCAGTCTGGGAAGGTGGGGGTCCTGGCTGTGAGATGGCCTCCAAAACCTCAGGACCAATGGAGGCCATGCATCATGCCTCAAAGCTGTTCCCCCCATAAGGATCAGCCCTGGAAGAACCCCCCCACCAACCAGGCTCACAGCTCTAATGGCTGCAGTCCACCTGTGTCCTCCTCCTGTCCCCATGCCCTCCCTGCTGGTCATAGGAAAAAGGTCATGGAGTGGATGAAAGGCTGTGCTGTCTAGGAACACCCTAAAAGCCAGATGGGACATGTAGGAGTGACACCGGGAGGCCTAGCTAATTGTGATCCTGCCTCCCAAAAACATACCCTGCATCCAAGTCCTGGCAATTCCTGCTGGGCTGTGGAAGAGCTGAGTGAGGCTCAGGGTCTGCAGAGAGACCCTGCAGGAACCATGCTCACCTACAGCAGCCCCCATCCCCAGTCAGGACCCTTGGTGCCCCCTGAGAAGCAGGCCTGTCAGTGACCATGCCAGACACCACCCTCACGCCTGCCCTACTCACAGGTCAGTAGGACAGCAACAGTTGGGGAGATGTTCAGATGGCTGCTGTGAACCACATTGATGGGGGTCTGACGAGAGGAGAGTGCGCTTGGGAGTGTTGGAAATGCAGTGTGCCATGGCCAGCAGAGGGCACCACATGGCCCAGACCTCATCCAGCAAAGAACACCACCTGTGCATCTGTGTTCCCAATCCCCATGTGGGCCAGCTGGTGTTAGGCCAGGGTCACTCCCCAGTGCCACAACACCTACTTTGATCAAACCCCTGCCCCTTGTGGCTGTTGGCTTGGGATGCAGGGAAGGGTCATTGTACAGGAGAATATAGAAGGTCCTAGTTTTCCTCTAAGAGGCTAGCTGAGCAGCTAGCTTTCCTGCCATAGGCTTTCAGTACACAGTTGCTGAGTTAAAAAATGAGCCAATGCATAGGAGGCACTGGGGGCAGCAAGACTGGCTTATTTCTGGAGGTGGACAGGGACGGGAGCTTTTAGGGCAGGGTGGTGCACAGATGTGCCTGTGGTTGACAAACCTATGCCTGGAAATTGGTGTGGCCACTGTCGCTTATCATATCCAAGGGTTGGGAAGAAGACCCAGCACATCTGCATCCAGGTGCAGGCCACAACCCCTGGCGGATCACAGGCTGACTTGAGCTGCCGTCAAGCAGTGCTCACATCATCTGGGTGTCTCCGACTCTGGCTTGCCTTCTGTCTGCTCTCCTTTGCTCTTCCCTCCCTCCACTATCTCCTCCCACATGTCAGCCTCCTGATAGATGAGTACTCTGGTGTCCATGGGGATGAAGGGTTTGGGTTCAGGCAGCTCATAGGCAGGTTGGGAGGAGAATTTGGGTGCTGAGCCCTTGCTCCCTATGGGTCATCCGGGGCTGCTGGGGAGACAGCAGCTGGGAGGTGAGGGAGGAGGGTCCTGCGCCCAGGGCCCACAGTAGTGGGAGAAAGCCAAACCTTCCTGTAGGACCTTGGGAAGGAGTGAGCATTGGGGAGAATTCACCAGGGGGAGAAGACACTGAGCTGGGTGTGCTGCTTGCCCACCCAGGTACTCCTCCCCAGCTTCTGAGCCAGCAGAGAGAGCCAACACCTCCAGGGAGGAGGAAGATTCAGGGATCGGTTGGGAAACTGGAAGCTTCTCCAGCTGGCTCCTGTCCCTAAGCCAGGCAGCCAGGCCCCGAGGCATCCACTAGGGTCCA